TTGATACTTTCCCCACACCCCCTCAGGCGCTAAATTTTTTATGAAGCACGTGACCAGCCGCAGCCAGGGTCTTTCCCAAAGAAAGATCCTGGGTACGAAGTTGCACCCAGGATTTATTTAAGAGTTCAATTTCCTATTCCATCAACCATTATTCACTGTTACATTCCTATTGCAACAGGTTGAAGAAACTGTTCGGATCAAAGATCGTGAATTTTCACAACTCACTTCTAAGAAGAACACAATTTTGGTAAACCATGGGAAGTTACAGCAAGAAGCAGAGGTAACAAATACACTGTATTTATTGCTTGCATGGTTTAACCAGTTTGTGTTTTACAGTGCATGCAAGTACTCAGTTTAAAAAAAAGAAAAGCCTTTTAACTCGACGATCAAATTAACACCATTTTTACATGAAATCGCTCATTCATTCTATAGAGACACAAGTTAAACATAGAACAGAGGAACTCGATGATTATCGAGCAGTCAAAAACGTTTCAGTTCAAAGGTACGCTAAATACGGATTAAAGAAGAGCCACGATTGTCTTTGGCAAAGCTTGCGATCTGTAAGCGCAGATCAGTGAACCAGTAATTGGCATTATACATGCTTCAGTATATATTTCTTCTCTTCATATAGGGTTTGATGCACCGCCATTTTCGTCCGGGAAAGTCACGCAATTTATGGAAACCACAAAAGAGATGTATCAGAAAATGATAAAAGATGGCAAAGATTCAAAGGTTTGAAAAGCGAGAACGAATTAGACTTTTAGCTAAATTTTATACTGGATAGCTCTATCAGTTCTATACTGTTTTGCCTAGAGGTCCAGTAAGGATCATCTCTTATCGATGCAGTGTTACTACAGGAGGAAACAAAAACTAAACTAACTTTATTTATTTATATTGCATGGATAGTTCTATCGGTTCTAAACTGTTCTCCCTAGAGGTCCAGTAAGTGTCATCTCTTATTGCTCCAGTGTTATTACAGGAGGAAACCTAAACTAACTTTATTCATACTGGGTAACTCTATCAGTTCTAAACTGTTCATCTGATGTTTTCACTCTTCTTATTGTTATATTTATGACCGTTACATTTAGCAAGTATTTCAAGAACGCATCGACTCAGTTCAGAGCAAAATAGACGACATTAAAAAGACGCTTTATCAATATGAAGAAACGATCAGAATTAAAACTAATTTATTGGTAAGAAAATCCCCCAGACATATATATAATCAAGACTATAGCAACCTTTATTGGATGGCTATACATATCAGTTGTAAACTGTTCTCCCTAGAGCTCCAATAGGGCCATCTTCATAGGAGGAAACTGAAGTCCCTGGCGCAAATTTGTGGTGTTTGGTAGGGTCAAACTGGAACCTCTCTTCTCACATGCGTGCGAGGTTAAATTATAATCAGAAAACTAGATACAGGTATTGCAGGAATCAAGCAATATGGTGACTCGTATCACAGACAGATTATGTTTTATTATGATGAAGATCCGGGCTTACGGATCGAAAGCTTTGCAGTAATAAATTCACGTGGTGTTTCCACAAACAAAACTATTATAGATTATGTTTTGTTACAGGGTGAAAACCAGAGGAAATTAAGACAAGTCGGGCAAGATTTGAGCAACGTTGATGCGTCAGCAAAGAAGCTACAGAGAACTGAAAAGGAATTAAACGCTGCGGTATGTTTGGAAACTCAAGCCATTATGAAACAAATCTGCAGAAGACTTGTAATATAGCAATGCTGTTTCAACAACTTGTCAACAGGATGTGTTCGCACCGCTTGTTGACAAGTTGTCAACGGCTTGTTGAGAACTTGCTACAAGGTTGTTGCGCTCAACAGACTTGTTACAAGTTGTTCCATGTTATCGTCCTGCAATTCAACAATTTGTCAACAAGTTGTGAGTGACAAACTTGTAGCAACTTGATAAAATAACAGCATTGTTACAACTTGTTGACAAACTTGCTACAAGCCTGTTGTGAGATTTTTACGTGTGTAGCCGAGACATGAACAGAACGTTAGTTAGTAGTTAGTATAGAATTGTGGCGCGCGGTCTTTGCTCTCTATACACACGTAAAAACACACAAGTTGTTACAAATCTGTTTACAAACTATCGACAAGTTGTTGTAACAAGTTTGGAACAAGCTGTTAACAATTTGTAACAAGCTTGATGGCATTATCAGACTTGTTACAAGATTGTCGCAACAAATCTGATACAGTCATGATTAAAAAGAATGTTACAAGACTGTATCGGACTTGTTGGAACAGCCTTGTAACAAGCCTGATAATATCAACAAGGTTGTTACAAATTGTTAACAGCTTGTTTGGCAACTTGTGCCAAGCAGTGCGAAGACAACTTGTTGACGGCTTGTTGACAAACTTGTTACAAGATGTGAGATTTTTACGTGTGTACTGCGATATACACACGTAAAAACGCACAAGTTTGTTACAAGTCTGTTCACAAGCTGTTAACAAGATGTATTCGCGCTGCTTGTCACAAGTTGTCAACAGGTTCGGAACAACTTGTTGACAACTTGTAACAACCTTGTCGAAATTATCAGACTTGTTGCAAGGTTGTTCTGACAAGTCTGTGACATGCTTGATATAACAAGATTGTTACAACCTTGTCTTGACAACCTTGTAACATCCTTGTTATATCATGGCTGTAACAAACTTGTTAGCACAATCTTCTAACAAGGCTGATAATGCCATCAAGCTTGTTACAAGTTGTTAACAGCTTGTTTCAAACTTGTTACAACAAACTGGGAACAAGCAGTGCGAACACAACTTGTCGACAGCTTGTGAACAGACTTGTAACAACTTGTTTGCACACTTTTTTACAACTTGTGCGTTTTTACATGTGTACGCACGTAAAAATCTCACAACTTGTCAACAAGATGTGTTCGCAACAGGCTTGTACCAAGTTTGTCAACAAGTTGTAACAATGTTACTATTTCATCAAGTTGCTACAAGGTTGTCTCTCACAACTTGTTGAACTGCAGGACGATAACAAGTTGTTGGAACAACTTGTAACAAGTCTGTTGAGCTCAACAACCTTGTATAGCAAGCCGTTCACAACTTGTCAACAAGCTGGGAACAAGCAGTGCGAACACATCCTGTTGACAAGTTGTTGGAACAGCATTGCTACAAGTCTGCTGCAGGTTTGTTACAACTTGTGTGTTTTTACGTGTGTACCTGATTATAAATCTTTGCTAAACTACACAAACAAAATCCTCTATCAGGAAAAAGAACTACAAGATACGAAAGCGAGTGGTAATGTCGGTGAATGGAAAACAGGACTTGAAAAGTCTCAGAAGGAAAAACGACAAATAGAAACAGAATTAACTCGGCTTCGAGAAGAACAACAGGCGATGCATCTGAACTCGACGACCCAAGCTAAACTAGACATGTCACGAAAGCAAAAAGAAGCAAAAGAAGACGCCATTCAGAAAGTGTAAGGAATAAGGATTTTCTTTGGGGGAGTGTGTGAGCCATGGGTGTTGTGTGTGTGGAGGGGGGATTGTTGGTGGTTGCGATGCGTCTTTATCA